TCTTTGTCTATGGGCAGAACAGGTGACTACCAGACGTGCACTAAGCAGCAGCTAAACCTTGGGCTGTTTTCTGAGCTCCTCATTTTCCAGTAGTCATTCCTGCTAATTGCCATATTTTGTTTTCACCATACCTCAGGGAAAATGTTAATATACTTAATTAGTTTCAGAAGCGTGCTTCATAAATCAACGTCGAGTGAAACCTGCATTCTTTACACTTTCGGATTGTAGCAAAACATACGCTCTATTGATCTGTTGAATTAACAGAGGCGTTGCTTCATTAAATAAGCCATTCATCTCGTTGATTTCACACAAATGACTATTATACCTTGCTGTGGGCAAATACTGGCCTTTTTTATATAGTTTGTTACATTGATACAATGGGCCACCAATAGACTTAAATTGATTTGAAGCCTAAGAGTAATATTTATTTGGCTGTTTTTTTTGTTTTTTTTTTGCTTGTATCCTGAGTCAGGGTAGGAGAGATTATTATTTACAAACTTTTAGGTTAAACTGGGAAGCCCCTGGCCATTATTTAGTATTACAGATCACTAGTTCGACCTCATATGGAGTATGCGGTCCAGTTTTGGTCACCAGTACATAGAAAGGATGTCCTTGAGCTAGAAAGAGTCCGGAGGAGGGCAACGAAACTAATTAAGGGGATGGAGGACAAAAGCTATGAGACAAGGTTACTAAATTTAAACATGTTCACATTGGAAGTGAGGAGATTAAGGGGGGGACATGATTTTCATGTACAAGATGTTCAATGGTGATGGCAACATCAGCAACAAACCTTTTAGGTAAACCCCATGACGAGGACGAGAGGCCAACGCCTTAAACTGGAGGAGAAAAGATTTCAGCACAATGGGCGAAGGGGCTTCTTCACAGTTTGGGCGGTTAGAATTTGGAACTCACTGCCACAGGAAGTGATCTTAGCTGTGAGTATTGAATCTTTCAAAAAACACTTGGACGATTTCCTGAGAGACCGAAACATTCAGGGGTACAGGTTTTGTTAGGAGCAAGAACACAAGGGTACTCATACACAAGCATACACATCCAGAGTAACATGCATGCACGCAATGGGTTGAACTTGATGGACCTGTGTCTTTATTCAACCTCAAATACTATGTAACTTCATGGTTGTCAACATTTTAACATGATATCCACAGACATATTGCAGCTGAGCTGATGCATGTATGCTTATTGTCTTATTCCATGTTGTCTTGGAAGACCACAAATCTCTACATTCCCACTTATGACAGGTTTATTATATTGGACTGTATAGAGACTTCAATTATGTAATGTTTTTTTCAGTACAATATTATAGTTTGATTTAAGCTATATGTATTTGAGTAGCTGCTTTAAGCTGACCTACATTAGAGATATGTTAGTATTCTGGGCTCTTTAAAATTTGCTTTCAAAACAGTAGATAACACGAAATCCAACATAAATAGCTTGCTGTAGCATATAACAGATAAGGGCTCAAAAATCCTCGAGTTGTCCCGTACACTCAAGCTGTCCCAGTCTTTTCATAAGTCTATCTTGCAGCACTGCTGCTCCGTCCTCAATCTTTAGGGCCACTAACTAACCTTTAATAAACATATAACCATATATTATCTATTATTACTAGCCTTTGCACCAGTGTAATCCACAATACTACACAATTTGGGAATTTAGAAAATTCATATACCACGATTAACACTGTGTGACAATCCATGGACCAAAGAGTAGGGTGACCCTGCCTTTAAAAATAAATACATTTATACTTGGAGTAACAAGCCATCAAAGTGAGATCAGATGGTGGAAGACGCATACTGGCAGGTGCCAGTAGGGCCGATGTGTTGAAGATTGTTCCCTTAGGCTCTTTTAGTTTTAATAAAATAAAGTGACTGGTATGTGTTTTACCTAAAGCGTCCACAAAATTGATATTGTTAAGTTTGGCCATGTACGTTTATGTAGCTTTATTTGCTACGTATGATAGGAATATTTTTTTATTTAGAGTCTGGACCTGGACTGCAGCATGCATTATCCGTTAGCATCAGCCAACTTAATGAAAATGATGAAAACAGTTTGTTTACTTCCTGGAATAATTGGTCTGATTAAAATGAAATACTACCCCAAAGTCTATGTACTCCACTGCATTCTCCTATACATGTTCATTCCAAATTTTTAAGTCAGCTGGATAAATGTTAATTTACATATGGCACAGCTGTAGACCTAAATTAAGGTCCTCCAAAGCCTTTCTATGATTGAAGGACTTTCACCGCATGACTTATTATTATACCAGGCCTCAAAATTTCCACTCGCCCCCTCGCAATTTGCGAGTGAAAATTGCTTGGGGGCGAGTGGAATGCAATGGATGGGGTGCGCCCCTGGCAGGACCTGCAATCGAACACTACCGCCGCTTCCGAGCGGCGATCGCTGGCTTTGTGTTCACTCCTCCTGGCTCGCTCTGTAGCGGCCGAGGAGGAGAATCAGATGCGGCTGTCTTCGGCTCTTTCAGGCACCTGCAGGCTTCCTCCGCCCAGCTCAGCTGCCATAGGCTGGGAGGAAGCCTGCAGAGTTACTATTGAACAGACAGAAACTAATGCAGCGCGGGACATGAAAAGAAAGTTTCGTGTCGGTAGATGCAGGACCTCTTTACCGCCCCCCTTCCCCACGACCACCACCAGGAGAAAGAAGAGGGCACCTGAATACCACCTCAATGAACTGTAAGTCCCTTTTCTTTCTTCCTTATACTGCTGACATCTACAACGTGCGTTGCAGCGCTGACCTCTGCAACGCGCGTTGCAGCGCTGATCACTGCAACGTGCATTGCAGCGCTGACCTCTGCAAAGTGCGTTGCAGCGCTGACCTCTGCAAAGTGCGTTGCAGCGCTGACCTCTGCAAAGTGCGTTGCAGCGCTGACCTCTGCAAAGTGCGTTGCAGCGCTGACCTCTGCAAAGTGCGTTGCAGCGCTGACCTCTGCAAAGTGCGTTGCAGCGCTGATCTCTGTAATGTGCCCTACTGACCTCTGTAATGTGCGTTACAGCGCTGATCTCTGCAACATGTGTTACAGCGCTGATCTCTGCAACATGTGTTACAGCGCTGACTTCTGTAACGTGCGTTACAGAGCTGACCTCTGTAATGTGCACTACTGACCTCTGTAATGTGCATCACAGTACTGAGCTCTGTAACGTGTGTTACAGCGCTGACCTCTGTAACGTGCGTTACAGCGCTGACCCCTGCAATTTGCATTACAGCACTGACCTTTGCAACGTGCACTACTGACCTCTGTAATGTGCGTTACTTACAGTACTGAGCTTTGTAATGTGCGTTACAGCACTGACCTCTGTAAAGTGCATTACAGTGCTGGTGTGTTTAGGGGGGGAGTTAGTGCTAGGGAAGGGTAGGGATTAGGTGGGGCAACTGGTGGCGAGTAACTCTTAAGGCATGGCTAGTAGCTCAGGACGTGAAATTTTGAGCCCTGATTATACCATTATGCTACAGAGTTATATCATATATACTATTTTTTCTTTTTACTAGAAAGCAGTGGGTGGAAGATATTATAGTCCCCCTTATTTTTAAAAACCTTTGCTGAGCTGATAAATATAGTCAAGATGGGCTGTACCTAATAAAGCTTTTAAGTGTTAAGGATAATTTTAAGATTTCTGGTTACACTCCCAACAGTTGCAGGTCTATTCCGAAGTGTTTTTGTTCAAGATTCACATGTTTTAATTAGATTCACATAGAAAATGTGTGAACCCTGAATGAAAGTTGTGTGAATCCTGTATGGGGAAAAATGGACCTATTTGCATATGTTTAGGGAAAATCATATTTTTATTTTCAGTAGAACATTCCTCAATGTGCAAAATGTGGTTAAAAGCCCTGGTGCTCTGTTCCTCTACCTGGAACATCTTACCTGTTGATCCTACCAGTATGCCTCTGTCTGCAGCATTTTATTTGGAAGAATGACAACACTGCACAAGTAGTTCTGATTTTATAGCAGCATTGTTAGTCTTTGCATAATCCAGCTGGGTGACGTAGTTAGCTGGCATTGCATGTCCTCTGCAGGCTTCAAATGTGAGCTGATTCTAGCAGACAGGAGGGTACCTCATATCAATGATGTGTGTTGCATAAGTGCAAGAAGACAATTGGAGGCAGATCACATTAAACCTACAAAAAAGGCATCTCCTATACATATACTTTAATATATCTCTATATTCTATAATGTACTGCTAATTATAAGAGCAGCCAAAATAGCTTATAGCAGATGTTAAATACATTTGCAGTAACCATATATGACAAAACACTTGTAATGTGCTAAAAGGTGATTTTTACCAACCCTTATAGCTGTCACTTTTGATGGACAGCTTGGTCTGCATGTAAGTGTGGGTGAAAATATAAATAAAGGCATGTAAAATAAATAAAAAGGGAATTCATATATTTAATGCCTTCATTATAGGAATTAACTCTATACAGTTGCCAGAATACATTATTGTTTTTGTTCGCCATTGTAGGCTTTTAAGGATTATAAGAAAACAATGGAAATTTAAAGTCATTGCATACTGCATTTCTGTTCAGGTGACATTACATTCCCATTGCAGGCTATGCATACTTGTGATATTTTCTTATGTAAAATTCTTGAACAAATGCAACTTTTTGCCATTATGTATATGCTCATTTGTATACCAGTTACCACATTTAAAAGCTTTATACTTTTTAGTTAAAAAAATCATTAATTGATGGATGTTTAACACCGTTTGGCTTTTGGTGTGACAAAGTGTGATTTTCATGCAGTATCTCATAGCAACAAGTCATAAATCCGCTTCTCTTTATCTGACTGATTGAAACAGATGAAACGTGATAACAGGTTTTTTTGCATTACCTCAGTTTTCGTTTCACCATTGCCCTTTGCTCTGCCTTATTAAATAAGACCGAATTTACTAGGGCAAGGCTAGGTTTATTGCAAGGGTATTGATATCCCATGTTTATTTTGAATATCTTCTGTGTCTCCTTTTTAGGTTTCAAAACAGGAACAGAAAAGAGATGCTGCTGAAGGTCGCACAGCAGATACATCATCCCGCTACAGTGGTGCCCAGGACAGTGGCATTGGTAGTGATAGTGTAAAAATAAGAATAGTTCAGATTGAACCTGGTGGCACGAGCCATCACAGAATTGTACGCCCATCCAAACAGTCCTCCATTGTAAAAAATCTTAACTTCATACCCTTTGATATCTTTATCACTGCCAGCCGAATATCCTTAATGACATACTCGTGCACTTCAGTGTCTAAATCAAAGGTGGACACCAGTGATGGTGAGAAGGTTGAAAAAAGTTCCCTGAACTTAACAAGTACAGAATCGGATGAGGTACTGGACAAATCTGCTCTCTCTGGCATCTCCACCTTGACAGCTGAGGACCTCCTAACCAGCAACTCCTCTCCTCCAACTAATGGGAAAGTTGGCCTCTTTTCTCTAGAGAGACTTCATGCTTCAACAAGATCCTCTGCTCGTCAGGCACTGGGCATTACCATTGTCCGTCAGCCTGGCCGAAGAGGAACTGGTGATCTGCAGTTGAATCCGTGCCTTTATCTCACAGTGTCTCAGCCATCTTTGTTGATCAGCTGCCACCACAGGAAACAGAAGGTGGAGGTATCGCTCTTTGATGCACTACTTAAAGGTGTGGATCCAGAATACAAATGTTCAGGTATGTTTATTAATGAAAGATGTGCAGATGCCTTTTAGGGCATATAAGTCAATATGATAGCATATTGGGGCATGCATTAGGTAAAATACCCTCCTATACTTTAAGTGTTTTTCATATTTTGAAAATGATATTAGCTAACAGCGAATGCCATGTTAATGTTAAGGGGGTATATTTATAAAGAAGTCAATGTGAGAATGTGACAGTCATCAAACATTCACTGCAGGCATATCTTTCTGGTCCATGTTTTTAAAATACATTGATTTATTATATAGGATTTATATAGCGCCAACAGTTTGCGCAGCGCTTTACAATATAAGGAAGACATTACAATCACAATACAATTCAAGACAAGGTGGTAAGGACGGCCCTGCCCCTGAGGGCTTACAATCTAAAAGGGAGGGAGAATTGATACATGAGGAGGTAGCTGTGTGGGGATGAATTGTTTAAGAACATGATGGTTCAGTGGTTAGGTTGAGGTGGGATAGGCTTCCCTGAAGAGATGAGTCTTAAGGGATCGCCTAAAGGCAGTCAAGGTGGGAGATAGACGGACAGGTTGGGGTAAAGAGTTCCAGAGGATGGGAGAGGCTCTAGAGAAGTTCTGGAGGCGAGTATGGGAGGAGTTGGCAAGGGAGCTGGAAAGCAGGAGGTCTTGGGATGAGCGGAGTGGACGGTTAGGGTGATATTTTGAGACAAGGTTTGATATTTATCTGGGGGCAGAGTTGTGGATGACTTTATAAGTGACTGTTAATATTTTGAATTTTATCCTTTGGGCGAGTGGAAGCTAGTGTAGGGATTGACAGGGGGGGTTGCAGACACTGATTTATTGTAGTGAATGTTTGGTGAATATCATATTCACTACTATTTTGCCACACTTAGTGGATAGTAATGGTTAGATTAGAACCAATGGTTCAGTATTAATGTTGCATACCAGCTTAGAAATACTCAGACATTCTAGCCCTTCTGGCAGACGTCAATTTAGGAATGTTTAACAGGGTACTGATCACAGAGGGTGGTAAGCACCAGGGCAACGCAACACATAAGCTTACCAGCTCTAATAATTTAAACTGCATGTATAGCCAAAACGTTGTTTTAGATTTGCATAGAGTAGGTTAGGGTTAAAACTCCTGCCTGGTTTCTATTGCTGTCTGTTTCTTTGCTAGGCAGGTTAATCCTCTGTGTGTATCCTGGTGACCATTGTCACAGAGACAGAAAATTATACAAAATTACAAAATCTTACAGTTGTCCACAAGAGGTGAGGGTAATCCAATAGGTATTTCCTCTTACTTCCTGTTGTGTCTCTGGGACAGGACGTGAGGGAATGTCTATTCAAAGGTACGCACACAGCAGGAAAAGAAAAAAGGGGTTTCCTTACTCTATCAACAGCACCCCCACCTAGCATCCTAGCATGCAATTCAGCAGCCTTCCAGTCTTCTAATGTAAACATGGAGCTTGTGCTCTGGAAGTGGGAAGCAGGGCGGGCTGAGCTGCTGAGCGAATAAACTTTTGAGTGCTTCTACTATGAATTTTGAGGATAAATTGGTCCACAGTGCCCACAGAGGTTAGTGATGGCTTGCTTTGAATGTGATTTACTACTTGTTAGAAGTATGTAAATATTTGAAAGTCCATAGGATGGCCACAGGTTCACTTTAAACATTCTTTTGACAGTATCACATGTCTGCACACCTACTAGTTTTGGACCGTGAACTTTTTTTGTAGAATTTTGAAACCTTTGTGCTTGTTAGGAAAGTGTCTTTTTCTAGAGTTCATGGAACAAAACCATACAGTCTATAACACATTATAAATGGAGACATTGCAATAACTCACAATGCTCTTCAATGTGAAACACAAGCTCTCATGTGTTTTCTGTTACAGAGTTTAAAGTTTTAAAGTGGGATGCAGCTTACCAATTCAAAATAGTACAGTAACTTAATATCTACCCTCAAAAAGCCTGTGGATACATATTTCCCAATAGATTAGAAGCTTTTAATTCACAATGACAATACCTGAAAAATAACATTGTCTTAACAGATTATCTTGTTATATTGTATTGAAGTATCTGGGTCATTTCCACCAAATCGTTGCAGAGGACGTCTCGTGTTAAAACAAATATTTTGCTGGAGGGGGAAAAGTTAGTTCTCTAACAGAGTATAGTAGATTGTATTTATATTATATACACAACAGGCAGCATTATACAGAGTATATAATATATTTACGTTTTGCTGTCTGGGTTCTGTTTAGGGCTTTCACTAAATTTCCTGTCCTGCAGATGCAACTGAGAGGTAATATTCCCGTCTTAGACAGTTGTCACTGCAACAGTTGTCACTACTTAAGGATTTCCCATCAACTCTTCTTCCGCTGTACAATTTTGGACTTCCCTTCTTTTTCTGTCAATAGTCACAATGGTGGACAAAATGTAAGCATGAAACTGCCCAGCGATAAGGACAGCAATAGGAACCTTACAGGGGTTATAAAATCTCCCTACCTTGTTAAAAACTTTAATGTAAAGTTTTTACTATACATATATTTTAAACCAGAAGTGCTGAGGAAGAATCCTTCCCGTGTGTCTTAGGTGTTACCTCCGCCAATAATTTGGGCTGTGTTGCAGATTCAGCTGCTACTCCACTGATTACCATGTCAGCAAATCCCTTTCTCTGCAAAGCACTATTTATGGAGTCACGATCTCTCTGACAGTCAGTAAAGTGCAAAATAATTCAAAAAGTTAGGACCTCTATGTAGTCATTCCTCCTCATTATATTATAACTAAGTAGGTCTACTTTAAACTAAGATGAAAAAAAATCTATGTTATGATAGGGCAGTAGAAGCTACTATTTTGTTGTTGGAGTTGTGAGAGAACATAATGTAGTGCATAGGGTGGGCATGGGTAAAACCAGGTTGCCAGTTCCTGGACTCTCTCCCTCCAAATAAAAGGTGTAACAGTATATATTGATTGTGTTTAATGGTTTCGAAAGCTTCCAGTTTCAAATGGAGTTTTCCATTAATACATTATCCTGAGAAAAAAAACAGAGGTATGTAAGGCATTTCAACCCAGCCAGAAATATTTTTGTCTGAAGTCCTTCGTCATCTCATAATATGAAGGAAAACGACAACTGAGAAAGGTATCTTCAGTCATTGATCACAGCATGTTTCAAGCTTATGAGGATCCTTGTTGCTGTCCTCCAGAATTTACAAAAAAAATGTTCTTTGATGTTTCTTTTTTTTTTTATGCACACTTTGTACATTTTTTTTCATGTTTTACCTTTAATCACAGAGTAGGCAGCTTGTTTTGGCAGCCTATCTTAGCTGTGGGCAGGAACTTGTGAGTTATTCCACATTCGGTACACAGAACTTCAGATGAACTCATAATAATGAAACTCCTACAGAGACAAATTCTGTTCTTCAACTACTGTTATTATTTTCTGTTTGATGGAGGTCAAGAGGCAGCCTCAGAAGTGGTTTACAATTGCTCATCCGTTTCAGCGGCCAGTGCTCTTTAGCGCACATCCCTTCCATGGAGCACTTTTCAAGGCGGCATTGCATACTTTATTCAGCTGCTGCTTCAGAACTGCATGATAAGCAAAACTGTCAGATTTTGTTGCAGAGAAAATTCAAAAATCAGCTCTGAAGAAATCTTTTGAAGTAGCATGATACATAAGGGTTTGTTTTAGGCATTGTGCACATTCATTGAACGCAGAAAAGCTTTCAGGACGACGACCTTTACTGGGAAGGATAGTCCATCGAGAAAAAGGCAAACAGGCTTGTAGAAAGAAAAGTTAAAGCTGACCTCCAACCTTACTTTTTTTCCTTACTTGTAGCAAGTCCTCTCCTGTGTTGAAACTCATCACTCTTAATATCCTGCAAACTTGCATGTCCGCAATATACGGTAACCCTTTGAAGCTGCAGCAGCTATCTCAAGCCTACCTTCATTTCCTGTCTGAATTATCTTCACTATTAATCAATGTTTTGTACGGTACTATTAGCTTTCTCTGCCATTGGTCATTTTGTTCCTGAGGTTTATGTGAAAGGACACATCCCTGGCATTCTGTTAGAAATGCCTGCAACCAGTCAACCAAATCTGTAAATTGCATAGCTAAAGTCTGCAGCACCCAGTGGCCAACAGCGACAAACAAGCACATCAAAAAGGGACCCCCAGGGATGTGTTCTTTCATATAATTTTTTATAGTAGAATAGTTTTCATTTTATGTTGATCAAGGGGGGGGGGGGGGACGGGGGAAGAATTTTTTTTTGAA